ATTTTGCTCATCCTATCCGTGAAAGTAGCACGAGGTCAGCCGCGAGGTTGGAGACTTACGTGTCCTCTCTCTCTTTCTCTCTCTATGTCACAAAAAAAAAAAAAAAAAAAAAAAAAAAAAACCGAAAAAAAAAGAAATGAGTGTGGCAGTGTATATTTCCACGTTATAGCAGTAGATTCATTCGATTTTGCTCATCCTATCGATGGAAGTAGCATGAGGTCAGCCGTGAGGTTGGAGACTTACCTGTTCAAAAGATCGATGGTACCGGTAGGGGCATATGAGAAATTTTTCCAACGGCTATCTGGTAGGGGCATGCTGCAGAGTTGGTGTAGGTACCGGTAGGGGTACTACGAAAACGTATATGAGGCCCAAACGACACCAGGGTTTTATGGACATTTTGACTTGTGGTCAGAGGGGTAAATCGGCCGTCAGAGGGGTGCGACAGGGTAAATCGGCTGTCAGAGTGCGACGCAAAATAATGGAATATACAGGGGCGCAAGACAAATTTTCCCTTTTTTTAAACACTGTAGCTCGTATCTTGAGGATGTCTTCCTAGAAATTGTGGCCCCAAGGAGTGTCTAATGAGACCATTAGTCTGCATATGACTATGCAGCTCCTAAGGCTACTGTCTTCCCCCGAACACAACGCACCCTCGTTTTGGCTGTCTCTGGCCGGAAATATAGCTTGTATACATTCATTTTTGGGGTGCGTTATGTTCGGGGGAAGACGGTAGACATCGCTTCCAAACCCCCAACATGAACGTCGCCTATGCTTCCCTAAAGAGCAACCAATTTGGCAAAGGCTATGCGAATCTGCCCTTCTCCGTAATAGTCTAATTTAGACGTATGTCCCCAAGGACTTGGCAGGTGACTAATCTTGCCCCCGAGTATTGCCACCCGTTGCGCCTGTGGCTCGTTGATTTATATACGATATAGTATATAAATATCGGTAGCGCAGAGCTCAAACCGTCGTCGTAAAAAAAAAAAAAAGAAAAAAAAAAACGTCGTAGTACTGAACGGAAATGGAGTCGGCGGGAGTTCAAACTGTCAACGGGAGTAGTGGCGCAGCTGATAGTCAATCGTCTCGTGTGCCGTGCAATCATGATGGTCTATAGGCATCGCTGCACAACTCTCCAGATGCACAAACGACAAAAATAAAGGCGGTGTATCTTCCCATGTTCTGAATGAAAATTCGTGCTCATTTTGCAGATTTGGGGAGTACGGGAGCGAGGCCCTATGCAAACGAAGGGTTAGGAATCAGACAAAAGAGTCGGGGCAAGCTGTGTCAGAGGTAGGAAGGCCCCACAAGTGCTATGTTCATGCTAGGAAACCACGAATCTGGCTGATATTGCGGGCAGGCACATGCTTTCGGTCTTTTCCGAGCATGAACATCGCACCAGTGGGGCCACCACCAGAGGCAGAGTTTATTTCACTCGCCCGCTCGAAGAGGAGCCAGCCACGCACAGCTGAGCTGTGGAACATCCCCTGACCCTGCGGTGACTCTTCCTGAGCCGAGAGTAGAGGGAGAGTAGAGGGAGTAGCGGAAAGGAGCGGAGTGATAGATGGAGGGGGATAGTGTGTGAGGGAGAGGAGAGGCGCAGTCGGTGTGGCAAGGTGTGGCTATGGAGGGTCAGCACATTCAGAAGACCTCTCAGCTGATGTTCATGCTCGGATAAGGTGTGGCTATGGAGGATCGGCACAGCAGTGCTTTAAACGGTCCCAGGTACCGAGGATCTCAATGATTACTGTTGAGGGCAAGAGGGGAGGTGGACGATGATTGATAGATCGAGGAGCCGAGGAGGAGAGGAAAGGGGGGAGGAGGTAATAAGTAATATTGAAGATTGATCGACAGGAAGGGGGCAGGAGGAAATAAGTAATATTGAAGATTGATAGACAGGCCAAGGACAGGTAGCCTGAGGTAGGCCGGCAATGCACTAGGCGAGGTAGGCGAGCTGGGGAAGGTAGGCAGGGGGCGGCAGGAAGGAAGGGGAGAGAGAGAGAGAGAGAGAGAGAGAGAGAGAGAGAGAGAGAGAGAGAGAGAGAGAGAGAGAGAGAGAGAGNAGAGAGAGAGAGAGAGAGAGAGAGAGAGAGAGAGAGAGATGATAGTCACACAAACAGGCTTACTGTCCATGACGGATATGGAGGTAGATGGAAGCATAGAAGTATTCGTAGATAAGTGGAGACAGGCTGATTGGGAAGTAGGTAGATAGATTAAATTGTGATTAGATTGTGTTACCTACATGACGAGAGAGAGTGTATGGTCCTACATAGACAAGTGTAGACTGATGGCTAGATAGCCAGATAGTACTGGTGTATAGCCAAAGATCAATAGATGTATAATCAAGGATAGAAACTGGCTATTGCGGAGGCAGAATAGCAGACCAGTGGGAACAAGCCATCAACACTTACACACACACACACACACACACACACACACACACACACACACACACAGAGAGAGAGAGAGAGAGAGAGAGAGAGAGAGAGAGAGAGAGAGGTCGGATCCGCGGTGGAGACTTCATTTTTGGTTGGTATCGTTGCATTTGACCTTGTATAATACGTAGCACAGAGCATCCGCATGAGGGCGTCAAGCACACTGATTGGGAGATTAGCCGCGGGAGCGAGTCGCTTGCGAACGCGGGGAATTCCGAGGCAAGGTGGTGGAACGATCGGAGATGGTGATGGCCCAGGTTTCACTCTCAACTTCGGAGAAAAAACAGTCACAGGTCGGTCAATGCTTCATACCATATGACGTTCACTCATTCTCCTTCACCTCCCCCTCCTGCACGTCCTCCTCCTCCTCCTCCTCCTCTTCCTCCACCTGCACCTCCTCTTCCACTTGCTCTCCTCCTCCACTTGCTCTCCTCCTCCGTCTCGTTCTCCTCGTCCTTGCTTCTTATTCCTCCGCGTCCTGCACCTCCCCCCTCTGCACCTCCCCCTCCTGCCCGTCCTCCTCCTCCTCCTCCTCCTCCTCCTCCTCCCCCTCTTTTCTTCGCCTTTCCTCCTCCTCCTCCTCCTCCTCCTCCTCCTACCCCTCCTATCCTCCTCCTCGTCTTGCACCTCCGCCTCCTGCACCTCTTTTCTTCGCCTTCTGCTTCAGATCTCCTCCTGTTCCTCCTCCTCGCTTTTTTGTGCTCCTCCTCTTCTTCCTCCTCCTCTGTTCTCTACTTCTTATTATTCTTTTTTTACTTTTTCTTCCCCTTCTTCTTCTGCCTGTTCTTCGTTTGCACTCTGACGATTCCCGTTGCATTATTTTTTCTTTTTCCGTTTTTTTGGGAAGTTTATGTTTCCAAAATCGAGCGCTGCAGTTCTGTTGACGACTATCGTCTTCGTGCGAATAGATCGTCCCGTCATTATTCGCTGTATCTAGACTGAAAGTTGGCCCACATACCATCTGGACTGAGAAATGCGCGAATAGATCGTTCCTATGATGACCGTACATTCCTTATGATGACCGTACGTTCCTATAATGACCGTACATTCTACTTTGGGTGACGAAGCTAGCGGAGACGCCGGAGACGTTTTGAAGGAAGATACTCCTGTGACTACGTTGCTACTTGGTCTATATGCTTTTTCCCCCCCATTTCTTTTGTGTTATAAAACGTTTTTTATTCGTTTTTTTTTTTTTTGGTTGATTTTGGGAGGTGTAAGGGATCACTCTTCCATGCGGAAAAAGTCTCTGAACAAACGGATCGCCGTTTCTGCCATCTCCCCCGCACCAGCACGCCCCCGCGGCCCCCTGGGGCCCTGCGGTCCCGCTCCCCCGCTCCCCCGCTTCCCCACCCCTCCGCGGCCCCCTGCCCCCGCTGCGCCCTCTCCCTCCTCTGCCTCCCTTCTTTCCCCCCCCGTCCCCTTCTCCTCTTCCTTCCCCCCCCCTTCTGTTCCTATTCTATTTCGTAAATTCGTTCCAATGAATCTAATCCGCAATGTGGTGTTGTATACATGTTCACGTACCAGCAGTGCTTCTGCCCTCACCTTACCGTCTTTCCTGGAATAAAACAGACGGTCATTATCACTGTATCGAGACTGCAAGTTGGTCCAGGTACACTGTATCGAGACTGCAATCACCGTGAGTTTCTCTTCGGGGGGGGAATCGTAACAAATTTTATCCTTTGCTGCGTCATTATCCGTGATCAAGACAGGAGAATAGGGAGCACAATCACGAAAGGTCATTATCAATGTATCTAGACTGAAGGGTGCTCCAGGTACGGCTGTAATCACCGTGCGTTTCCCTTGGGGGGGGGGAAATCATAACAAATTTTATTATCCTTTGCTGCGTCGTTCTCCGTGATCAAGTATCTAGACTGAATAGGGAGCGCAATCACGGAAGGTCATTATCAATGTATCTAGAGTGAAAGTTGCTCGAAGTACTGCTTTGCGATTGTGCTCCCTATATCCCAATTCTGTCTTTTGAGCCCTTCGTGCTCCCCTCTTTGCAATCTTGTTGATGTCCAGGATAAAGATCCGGATTACTGATCCATATGTTTTATTTTTCCTCCACCTTTCGTGCCGCCATTTTCTCCATCTGAACTTTTCTCCATCAATGTCGTCAACGTCAGGAGACTGAGGAGAGCATTAGGAGGGAAAAAAAGAAGAAAGAAAATGAAGGAGAGCATCAGGAGAGAGTGCAGAAAGAAAGTGAAGGAGAGCATCAGGAGAGAGTGCAGAAAGAAACAGTGTCGGCGAATGTCGGTTGAGAGAAGGCGATTCCCTGACGCCGTGCCTCTGCAATCTCTCCCGACTCTCTCGTTTGCCAACTCCTGGACTCTCTCTCTCTCTCTCTCTCTCTCTCTCTCTCTCTCTCTCTCTCTCTCTCTCTCTCTCTCTCTCTCTCTCTCTCTCTCTCTCTTGCTCGCTCGCTCGCTCGCTCGCTTGCGATTACCATTTCGTATGCTATCTCTCCCTCTCTTGCGTTTAGCATGCCCTGCTCTCTCTCTCTCTCTCTCTCTCTCTCTCTCCTGTTTCCTGTAATTTCTGGAGTTTCTTCGCTCCCAATTACACCCCCCTTCTCTCGTCGCTTCCTCTCTTCTCATCTACCAATTGCATCTGACTCTCTTACCTTCTTTCTCTCTCTCTCTCTTACTACAGTGAACACTGTGGTGCAGCAATCGTGGTGAGTTGGCATCTGTTTCTCGTTCTTTCTCCTGTTTCTCCCATCCGTCAGCTGCTTTCATCGTGTTTTCTACCCCTCCCTCTCCCCCTTCGTCTCCCCCTCCCCCTCCTCCTCCCACACCCCTCCTTGCCCATCCCTTCCCCTACACGGGCTAGAAGACAACACGTTCTCGTAGTCGATTTTTTTTTTTTTTTTTGTCGAGTTTTAGTCGTTGTCCTTTTTTGCCATGATCGCCTATCTCGCCCTTTTTCTTTTTTTTGAAGTCGGCTCTCGCCACTGTGTGCCTTCGGTTCGCGTTTTTTTTTTTTTTTTAATTTGCATAGAGCAGAATCGAAAACAGATTTGGCAACAGAAACGAGTAAGAAAAGGGGTCGTAGTAAAGTAAACGATGTCACGGATCGCTTGACAGCTTCGTTCGTCCAGTTCCACCGGGGGGTTCTAACTCAGGTCTGGATTTCAGCTCAGGTCTGGATTTGAACTCAGGTCTGGATTTCAACAGGTGTACCGACTGAGTTAGGTAGGCGTCCTTTCTGCTCAGCTCAGCTCTGCTCTTCGAGCGGGCGAGTGAAATCTATCGGTAGTCCCACTTCGCTCAGCTCTGAGCGCTAAGCTCTGAGCGGTGAACTCTGAGCGAAGTTGAACACCTGAGCGAAGTTGAACTCCCCATCTTCGCTCAGCTCGCTCAGCTCTGAGCCAGCTGTAGTCTGTAGGGTCAGACTGTTAATCATGCTATAGTCTAGTTCCACCCGGGGGTTCTAAGTCAGGTGTGTGTGTTTTTTTTTTTTTTTTTTTTTTTTTTTTTTTTTTCAGGTGTGTATTTCGATAGGTGTACAGAGTGAGTTGGAAGGGATGGCAACACTGTTTATCATGAACGGCTGCCGCGCTGCGTAAACAAACGGACCGCTCGGGTCAGTGTGGTTGGCCAGGCAAGGGCCAGGGAGGGTCCCTGTGGCAAAAAAAAAAAAAAAAAAAAAGAAAAGAAGAAAAAGAAAGAAAGAAAGAAAGAAAATCGAAAAAGAAATATGTTGTAGACTAGGCTACCAGAGTGGCCCGGGGTCACTTGCCCGGCCGGGCCAAAAAATTAAAAAAATTAAAATATTTTAAAAATTTAATTTATATTTTAAATTTGGTAAAGAATTTCGATGTGAGCCTGAGGCAAAAGTTGTTTAGTTTATTTTTCTACATAACATAGTATTTTTTCAGATTTTTTGGAAATGTTTTGTTTTTTGCTGGGACCTTCCCTTGCCCTTGCACGGGCTGGTAACCCGGGACCCGGGCGGCCCGGCTGGTAGCCTAGGTTGTAGAAGGAAAATTAACATTTTTGTGCGACAGGGTCACAACGAATTTTCTTAGCCAGATAAAAAATACAAAATTACATAACATATATTCTGTAATTGTTTCGTTTATTTATATTTTGCAATTCACTCTTGGCCCGGGCGGGCAAATGGTCCCGGGCCATTCTGGTAACGTTGATAAGCGGTCCTAAACGTAGTCGAACGGTCCTACATGTAGTTGATAAACCGTAAGGGTCACATCGAAAATCTTTGCCAGATCGAAAATTAAAAAGTAAAATAATAAAAAATCTACATTTTTTATTGTTTTCTTTACTTTTATTTTGGCCTGGCCGGGCAATTTGTCCCGGGCCATTCTGGTAGCGTAGCTGAACGGTCCTAAACGGTGAGCGCTGCAGTTACTGAGAAGTTGATCCACGTCGTGTGTGCCGTTGGATGGAGTTGAGATATGAACGGTCCTAAACGGTCGTAAACGGTAAAGCTCTTAAGGTCATGTGTATTTTGAGAAAGAAATATTTCAATATATTTCAAAAATTAGTATGATATATTAAATATAGTTAGAATCTAGTGATATATTTCAGATATTTTAGATGTTTCAGAAATTAGTGTAATATAGTAATCATATAGTGATATACATTCATGCTGGGCAGTTCAGTAAATAATGGGAAGGCAGAAAACTGTGTACAGGGTACACCGCTTCATCTGATTTTTAAAAAGACGATACAAAGAAAGATTAGCATGCCCGCTGCGCAAGAATGACACGCATAAAATTTTAACTCAGAGGAGGGGGAACAAAAAAGACGAACGGCCAAAACTAATCCAGATTGTGTGTCGATTGTGCTGTGCAAAGTACACGCAGAGTCGGGAATCCGATGCGCTATCCTGGAAACCCCAGGCCGCGGGGAGGGTTCTCGCACAGTGACCATCTCCTTGTTCATGGGGGCGGAGGACGATTCGGTAACAAGGGTTTCCCTCCCAAGTTGTTCGCCTCTAGCTCTTCAGCTGGATTATAGGTCTATAAGACATAACATCTCCAGCTATGACCCAAGACCGACGTTCAAGCAGATTGCTAACTCAACTCTGTGTGTGTGTGTGTGTGTGTGTGTGTGTGTGTGTGTGTGTGTGTGTGTGTGTGTGTGTGTGTGTGAGAGAGA